TCTATTTTTTCTCTCTTTATATATATATATATATATATTTTTTTTTTTTCTTTCTTTTTTTTTCTTTCTGGGTTTAAAGAGAGTATATATATATATATATATATATATGTGTGTGTGTGTGTGTATATATACATCTCCCAGGGTTTATAAATAAATATAATAAAATATTAACTATAAAATAAATTATATTAAATTGACATTAAATCAATTATTCCTATACATATTACAAATAAAAATATATTTATATTCTTTGTGCAATATTAATACATTTTTGTGTATCAATTTAAATTAATTAAATTAAATTTACAGCCAGAGTTTTACATGCTCGGCTGAAAATAGTTGCCGGCTAATATGTTATGAATGTCGAGGGAACTGACTCGCTTTAAAGCTTCTTTAGTCACTTTTTTAACTCTGAGTAAGGCAGTATTTCACATGTGACATTCTGAAAGAGGTTTATAGGTGTCGTATGTTATTTGTGTCACTAACATGATCTGAAATGAAGCTCTTCACACACAGACTGTGCATCTGTGCTGCTGTTTTACTGTAGCATGTCTCTGTAATCCTCCTGATCATGTTCCTCCTGCCGTGGGCTCCTGACTCTCTCCAAACCCCTTCAATGCGGTTTCTCTCTCCTTCTGTTTCACTCCATGCGTCCGCAGGGCTTTGGCTTTGTAACTTTTGAAACGAGCACAGACGCAGATCATGCGCGGGAGAAACTAAACGGTACAATCGTAGAAGGACGTAAAATCGAGGTGCTTTCCTTTTCCCCTTCTCTCCGTCCTCCTCTCCTGCTTGCTGACCTCATTTCCTGTCCTCATCCTGAGATTCCCGAGCATCTGCACGATACCTGTCCACATTTGTGTGTGTGTTTGTGACATCTGAAAGCAATATTCTGGGTTAAATATGGCTTATGTTCTAACAACTGCAAAAAAAGAAAAAAAAGAAAAAGAAATAAGGTATTTTTCACCCCAAAATCAAAAGAAAGAAAAAAAAACTATATTTTGTATACAATACGTTTATACAGTTTTAGGACTTTTAACATTTGTTGCATTGTAACAATAATTCAAATTAATATTAAGAACATTTCCTCTGAAATTCCTGTTACTGTACAGTGATAAAAAGAATAGTATTTAATTTAATTTAATTTAATTTAATTTAATTTAATTTAATTTAATTTTAGGTATTTGTATATGATATGATATGATAGGATATTATATTATATTATATGATATTTGTTCAGTTTAGAGAAAAAATACAACATATTTGACAGATACTGTCAATAGATATTAAGATGAAAATTGCCCAGAATATTTCTTGAATTTGTATTGATCTCTGAGAGGAATTTAATCTGTTGGATGTGAAACCAAATATTTAAAATATATAAAGCTGAATCTATGAAATCTATTAAATGTAAAAAAAAAAAAAGTGCTGAATCTTATTATATTCATCACCCTCCACCATTTTTCATTGGGTAAAAATTGTTTAAACCAAACTGTATTTCAGATCATATATCATGCTCAAAGTGTTGCTTACTGCTGTTATTCATGGGTTTTTTTATCCATTGCTTGTGTATGTCATCAATTCCAAGCATCTATAAAAAAATGTTTTTTTTTTAAATGCAAAAGTGAAGCAAAATATCCGACTATAATAACGCATTCTGTAAAGTGTGGTGTGCATGGCTCAGAACAGCCAGAAGAGATGCATTGTGGGTGATTACAGGAAGAGCAGAGGGATATTACTCACATGCATGTGTGTTTGCATGAGCACAGTGTTCATACGCATGTGTTTCTGATATATGTTCCTGCAGCACACTCACATCTCTCTCTCTCTCTCAGGTGAACAACGCCACGGCGAGAGTGATGACAAATAAGAAAGTAGTAAACCCGTACACAAACAGTAAGAGCTCCTCTCAGCATACAGCTGTTTAAAACATCTGACTCTCTGTGATAGCTGTAGGATCTGTTCAAGCACATCTTTGTACTGTTTCTGCAGGCTGGAAACTCAATCCAGTGGTAGGAGCTGTTTACGGACCGGAGCTCTACGCAGGTGAGGAGGTTTCTCACTGAAGAAGGTGTTTTACTTCAAAAACAGCCATTCAAAATGAATAATTTCCCCACATTGCTCAAATGTAAATTAGCTTTAGTTTGTAGTGTAATAATCATGATCAATTGTCAAGTATTTTTTGCTCTTTAGTTTCAAAAGACACAAACCGTTTGCACAAAGCTCATTACCCGGTTTGCGTTTCCACTGCAGTTTAGTATCGCTTTAGAGTGGGCGGGATTATAGTTATAGTTGCGCCGCCTCTACTGCCACGACTCCTGAAAAACTTTTTCATTCCGCATCGCTCCATCAAGCTCTCGCTATCAACGAGAGGAACGTCTGTACTTCCTCAACAGACAACGAAACAGCCATTTTTTGGTTGTTAAAAAAGGTGCGCTCGTTCAAAACAGTTGCGTTCGATCCTTCGCTGGCTGTGCTGATTTAAATCTAGTGGGTCTTTTGTGTCTCGTGTTGCAAGTTCAGTGACGCAGGTAGTGACGATTCTCTCCGGCCAATCCGTGATCAGCAGAGTTTACACGTCATGTTTTGGTAACGGTACGGTTCACTTGGAACCTCAACTGAGGTGGTACTAAAAAAGTACCAGGTACCAGGTAGTGTACCCAGTGGAAAACCCCCCAAAATTAACCGTACCGAACCGTACCGTGCTGTACCATGCAGTGGAAAACCGCCATTAGTGGCTCTGTCCCATCCGGTCCGATGCGGGGTTAAATGTCTTGCTCAGAGGCGCAGTGCTGATGTCAGTGATTTCCCACTTTATGGAGGTGAAGCGGAGAGCGCTGCGTTTGCACTTCTCAGCCGCCAATCCAGCAGCACCAATAAAACGACTCATGCTAGCATGATATTAGCCAAACTAGACGCCACGTTGGTTTCTATTCCCAATAAAGGAACAGGCTGTTGAACGTTGCTGTAATTTATGGCAGTCAGATGGTGGTCGTATCATTAGCGCTGCTAGTTAGCTCTGGGCTCCATTTGATTAGCAGTCACGGATCACATTTCTTTTAAAACTCTTCGGTGGCACAAATGAAGAATTCAGCGCAGAGTAATTGGCTTTAGTTCGCTTCGCACGCTCTGTTTTGAGTTCATTCTGATTTCCCCTCGAGTCTCGATGACTGTAAAAGTCTTTCATAAAGAAAATGAAATGACAGTAGAGCTCAGCAGAGCCATATGCTAACGCACACAGCTAATTCACCAGAACACACAGGGTTACCTACAGAGATAGATAGATAGATAGATGGATAGAAATACATTTTAGATCTATCTAAATATTTAAAAATATATTTTTGTGTAATTCAGTGACTGATACTTACCTTTTTCATTTTACTTTTTTACCTTTAAAATTTTGAAATATTTTTATGTATAGATAGACGATTCAGTGGCTGATTTTATTTTGTAAATATGTATTTAAGTAAATATTTTTTATTTTATTAAGTTGATACATTTTTTTTTAATAAATATATTTAATACAAAGGCTCTATATACACATGTATGTATGTATGTATTTCTATTTTTTAAATAATAATAATAATTTATTGTAATATTTTAGATATATAGGTGATAGAATTTATATTACATATTTACATCCTTGTTATGCCAGTGAATGCTGAATAAGAGTTTTGAATCAATTTGCATGAAATGAACACTTGGAACTGATTCACAGTAATGAATCAAACTTATTTACTTATTTACAAAAGTATTATTTTGTCACTGAAGTTGTGTTCACGAGTTGTGAAACTAGTAACGTACAAAAAATAGTTAATTACATTTACAATCATGCTTTCATGATTTCATAATTATATAGTAAATATAACGTTACATACAAATATATATATTTTAAATATATGCTATTTCAGGTTACTTAAAGGAGTCTTTTTTTAGTCTTTTTTGTTAATGTAGAGAGTATAAAGTGAGTGAACTAGAGAGATGTTCGTGTGTGTGTGTGTGTGTGTGTGTGTGTGTGAGAGA